TCTTGTTGCCCAGGCAGGTGTGCAATGGCATAATCCTGGGTCACCACAACCTCCGCCTCCCGGGTTCAAGCGATTCTCTTGCCTCAGCCTCCTGAGTAGCTAAGATTACAGGTATGCGCCACTACACCCAGCTAATTTTGTATTTTTAGAGGAGACAGGGTTTCTCCATGTTGGTCAGGCTGGTCTCAAATTCCTGACCTCAGGTGATCTGCCCACCTCAGCTTCTCAGAGTACTGTGATTACAGGCATGAGCCACTGCACCCAGCCTCTTTTTTTTTTTTTCTTTTTTTTGGGGGGTGGAGTCTCACTCTGTCACCCAGGCTGGAGTGCAGTGGCGTGATCTTAGTGCAGCCTCAACCTCCTAGGCTTAAGTCATCCTCCCACCTCAGCTACCCAAGTACTTGGGATTCGAGATGTGTGCCACCACGTCCAGCTAATTTTGTTTATTTTTTGTACAGATTAGTTCTCAATATGTTGCCCAGGGTGGTCTTGAACTCCTGGGCTCAAGGGATCCTCCCATCTAGGCCTCCCAAAGTGCTAGGATTAGAAGCATGAGGCACCACACCCAGCCAGCTTAATCATGCAAGTTTCTCCTGAGTGTCTTCCTCAGGTGGAATTGCTGGGTCGTAGAAATTGCTTGTGTTTAATGTTTTTTGTTTGTTTGTTTTTTAGATGGAGTCTCGCTCTGTCGCCCAGGCTGGAGTGCAGGGGTGCGATCTTGGCTCACTGCAGCTCCGCCTCTTGGGTTCATGCCATTCTCCTGCCTCAGCCTCCCGAGTAGCTGGGACTACAGGCACCTGCCACCACGCCCGGCTAATTTTTTTTTTTGTATTTTTAGTAGAGACGGGATTTTACCGTGTTAGCCAGGATGGTCTTGATCTCCTGACTTCGTGATCCGCCCACCTCAGCTTCCCAAAGTGCTGGGATTACAGGAGTAAGCCACTGCGCTCCGCCGCTTGTGTTCAATGTTACTGAATAACACCATATTGTTTCCGGAGGGCTTGTTTCAATTTACTATACTTTAGAAGGCTATTAGCACTGAATGACTTTTAAAAAGAGTACATGATTCTAACATAATTAGCCATTAGAAAATTTGTGGCTGGGCATGGTGGCTCACTCCTATAATCCCAGCACTTTGGGAGGCCAAGGCAAGTGAATCACCTGAGGCCAGGGGTTCAAGACCAGCCTGTCCAACATGGTGAAACCCCATCTGTACTAAAAATACAAAAATTAGCCGGGCATGGTGGTGCATGCTTGTAATCCCACCTACTTGGGAGGCTGAGGCAGGTGAATCGCTTGAACCCGGGAGGCAGAGGTTGCAGTGAGCTGAGATCACGCTGCTGCACTCCAGCCTGGGTGACAGAGAGAGACTCCATCTCAGGAAAAAAAAAAAAATGTTAGCTTACAAAAATGTGATCTATAGAAAATCTTTCAGAGCCGGGTAAAGTGGATCACGCTTGAACTTGAGCCCAGGAGTTGGAGACTAATGAGACCCAGGCTCTACTAAACATAAAAAAAAACAGCCTCGTGTGGTGGCACACACCTGTGGTCCCACCTGCTCAGAAGGCTGAGGCAAGAGGATTGTTTGAGCCTAGGAGTTTGAAGCTTCAGTGAGCTATGATCATGCCACTGCACTCCAGCCTGGGTGACAGTGAGACCCTGTCTCAAAACAAAAAAAAAAAAGAAGAAAGAAAACCTTTAGGAACAGTAGTATGACCTGTATTACTTTTGACTAACCAATTGTGATTAAAACTTTGCAAAATAATTTGCTAATATTTTTATTATACCTTCATTATGCTGTATTGTATTTGGTTCTCACGTGCTATTATTCCAGTAATTATGCCTTCATTATGCTGTATTGTATTTGGTTCACTTGTGCTATTATTCCAGTAAGAATTGCATTCTTACAGCATTGAAGCTTTTTTTTTTTTTTTTTGCTTTTTGTGTTTTTAGACAGAGTCTGGCTTTGTCACCCAGGCTAGAGTGCAGTGGTGTAATCTCGGTTCACTGCAACCTCTGCCTCCTGGGTTCAAGTGATTCTTCTGCCTCAGCCTCCCCAGTAGCTGAGATTACAGGTGCCCGCCACCAGGCCTAGCTACTTTTTGTATTTTTAGTAGAGATGGGGTTTCATCATGTTGGCCAGGCTGGTCTCGAACTCGTGACCTCAGGTGATCCTCCCGCCTCGGCCTCCCAGAGTGCTGAGGTTACAGGCGTGAGCCACTCTGCCCAGCCTGATGAAGCATATTTTAATCTGTTTCACAGTTTTGCTTTCTCTGACAAGATTACCTCCTGGTTGTTATATGTGACCACTCATTAGTGTCTTCTAGGCAACTATATATATTTTTAATGTGATGTGCTCTAGCAAAACAATGTCTACAATACAGCCATCTCATGCCCACAAGTATTAATACAGGTGTGAGTGTGAGGTTGATTCCAGGACCATGAAGAGGTGACAGATTTTAATTAATTAACTAATTTTTCAGAGACAAGGGCTTGCTCTGTTACCCAGGGTGGAGAACAGTGGCATGATCACAGCACACTGTAACCTTGAAATCCTGAGCTCAAATGATCCTCCCGCCTCAGCCTCCCAAGTAGCTGGGACTGCAAGCATGCACCACCACACCCAGCCAGATTTTAGTAAATATAAATATTTTATCTGAAAATTTTTTTTTTTTTTTTTTTTGAGACGGAGTCTCGCTCTGTCCCCAGGCTGGAGTGCAGTGGCCGCATCTCAGCTCACCGCAAGCTCCGCCTCCCGGGTCTACGCCATTCTCCTGCCTCAGCCTCCCGAGTAGCTGGGACTACAGGCGCCCGCCACCTCACCCGGCTAGTTTTTTGTATTTTTTAGTAGAGACGGGGTTTCACCGTATTAGCCAGGCTGGTCTCGATCTCCTGACCTTGTGATCCGCCCGCCTCAGCCTCCCAAAGTGCTGGGATTACAGGCTTGAGCCACCGCGCCCGGCCTTATCTGAAATTTTTAAGAATATTTAATATTTTAAGGAATATTTAATGTTAAACATTTATGAAATACAAATAGCATAAGTTAACTCTTCTAGCCTTCCACATTTACTTACTTGAGTTTCTTTTCCCCTCAAAATAAATTCTCAGTTACCACTTAGATACAAACATCTGGTGTTTAACATTTTGTTTCTTTTATTATGCTTTTGGTTTTTGTGTGTTTTTTTGAGATGGATTCTCATTCTGTTGCCCAGGCTGGAGTGCAGTGGCGTGATCTCACCTCACTGCAACCTCCCCTCCCAGGTTCAAGCGATTCACCTGCCTCAGCCTCCCAAGTAGCTGGGATTACAGGCAGGCGCCACCATGGCAGGCTAATTTTTATATTTTTAGTAGAGACAGGGTTTCAAATTGTTGGCCAGGCTGGTCTTGAACTCCTGACCTCAGGTGATCCACCCGCCTCGGCCTCCCAAAGTGCTGGGATTACAGGCGTGAGCCAATGTGCCCAGCCTATTATGCTTTTTAAAAAACTACAGCAGGCTGGGTGTGGTGGCTCATGCCTGTAATCCCAGCACTTTGGGAGGCTGAGGTGGGCAGATCATTTGAGGTCAGGAGTTTGAGACCAGCCTGGCCAACATGGTGAAACCCAGTCTCTACTAAAAACACAAAAACTAGCTGGGCATGGTGGCGTGTGCTTGTAATCCCAGCTACTGGGGAGGTTGAGGCAGGAGACTCACTTGAACCCAGGAGGCGGAGGTTGCAGTGAGCTGAGATCACACCACTGCACTCCAGCCTGGGAAACAGTGAGACTCAGCCTCGGGAAAAGAAAAAAATTGTGTTTTGGTGAGGAGGGTCCTGTAGCTAAGGGCAGAGATGCTGTGACCAAGTGTCCCACCCCAGGGATTGCATCCTCTGTGTGGGTAAGCAACGTAGAGTGAGCCTGGAGTTCAGACTGTCAGCCTTTGAGGTTTCAGGTTGTGTTTTAGAGTGGACCTCGATGCCGAGCTCTAGCCAGCTAACTCTAGTGGTAAATGTTTGGGGGAAACACCCGTTATTTGTTGTAGTTACATGCAAGGAGCTGGGCAAGTGACACATGGAATTCATATATATATTTTTAAACCAGTCTTACTCTGTTGCTCAGGCTGTAGTGCAGTGGCACGATCGTGGCTCACTGCAACCTCCTTCCCCGGGGTTCAAGCAATTCTCCTGCCTCAGCCTCTCAAGTAGCCGGGACTACAGGCATGCACCACCATGCCCCGCTAATTTTGTATTTTTGCTCCAGACGGAGTTTTGCCATGCTGGCCAGGCTGGTCTGGAACGCCTGACCTCAGGTGATCCGCTTGCCTCAGCCTCCAAAAGTGCTGGGATTACAGGCTTGAGCCGCCGAGCCTGGCCAGAAAAATTTTAAGAAATAGGCCGGGCGCGGTAGCTCACACCTGTAATCCCAAGACTTTGGGAGGCCGAGGAGGGAGGATCGCTTGAGCCCAGGAACGGGAGCCCCCCCCATCTCTATTTAAAAACATAAATAAAAATTAAAAATAAAATAACAACAAGGTGCAAAGACTCATTTTGTTACTCATGGTTGCATTTTAATTGAGAATATAAGTAGTCTTGGCCGGGTGTGGTGGCTCACGCCTGTAATCCCAACACTTTGGGAGGCCGAGGTGGGCGGATCACGAGGTCATCTTGGCTAACATGGTGAAACCCCGTCTCTACTAAAAATACAAAAAATTAGCTGGGTGTGGTGGCGGGCGCCTGTAGTCCCAGCTACTTGGGAGGCTGAGGCAGGAGAATGCTGTGAACCCAGGAGGCGGAGCTTGCACTAAGCCGAGATCGTGCCACTGCACTCCAGCCCAGGCGACCGAGAGAGACTCCATCTCAAAAAAAAAAAAAAAAGAATATAAGTAGTCTTTGAAGTTCTTTTGGGACCTACAGTGCTGCAAGCGCATAATGCCAAACGTGGATTTCAAAAGAGGCCCCCCGACGGGGTTTTATTAATTGCAAAATCAGTGCAGCGGTCCCTTGCTTCCCTCACCTACCCTTAGATCCTAAGTGGTGGTGGCGGCAGCGCGGAGCAGCTTCTGAAGGTCCAGGAGCTTAAAGCGGAGGTGCCACGGGGCGCGGCTTTGCGGAAAAAGCAAAAGCTCACTCCGCACCGTGCACTTCTGGGAATACAGGCACTGAGCCCCCGGAGGAGGAGAGGGCTGGTTCTGGGAGCCCCTCCCCTGGGGCGGGGCCAAAGCGTCCTCCCAGCCCGGCTTTGCAGAACAGAGATCTGGTGTCTCCAGTTTACAGAAGCACTTGCAGAACTCATCAGAAGCCACCCTGCTTATCAGCAGATTTCAAGAGAGCGTTCAGTGGAGGCCCTGAGTCTGCACAGTTCACCTCCCTGGGAACTGCTGGCCTGAGCATTGGAGCCGGCGCTGGCCCCCTGCAGCCGAAAGGAGCCCCGGAGGCCCAGGACACAGCGTGAGTCCTGGCTTGTGCTTTCCCTGCACCCAACTTTCTGATTTTGCCGACTTTCCTTTTCCTCTTCCAGGCTTCCTCTCTGAGTCTACATTTCTTCTTAATCGCATAGGCAGATCATTTCCTAGAATCTTCAGACTTGCTTTTCATTGATTTATGTTTTGGGTAACTTCACTTGTCTAATCTTACAGCAGCCGCATGTTGCCAAACAGCATGAATGAATGATGCAATCCCTTGCACACAGGAGCACCCTCAGTGCAAGACTGGGGCAATCCCCAAACTCAGAGTTGAAGTGTCCGAGTTTGTCTTCTTTCCCATTAGAATTAGAATTTTAAAATAAGTACTTACCAGATACATTGTTATAACGATACAAGTCAAGTTGGGAATTAAATCATGTTTTCATTCATTAAATATATTTACTATATTTTATTTTCTTTTTTAATTTTTTTTTTTTTTGACAGAGTCTCATTCTGTTGCCCAGGCTGGAGTGCAGTGGCGCGATCTCGGCTCACTCCAACCTCCGCCTACAGGGTTCAAAGGATTCTCCTGCCTCAGCCTCCCGAGTAGATGGGTGTGGGCCACTATGCCCAACTAATTTTTTAATTTTTGTATTTTTAGTAGAGACAGGGTTTCACCATGTTAGCCAGGCTGGTCTCAAACTCCTGGCCTCAAGCGATCCACCTGCCTCTACCTCCCAAAGAGCTGGGATTACAAGCATGACCACTGTACCTGGCCACTATATTTTCTTTATGTATGATTTGCATATTATTACTTTTTAAATATTTGATGACTGATATTGGAATGAGGATCAGGGAGGAAAATAATAAAATCCAAGATTTCTGTATTACAGTGCCAAGTAGGTTTTCAATATCATGACCATAGCCCTGTCACTATCATGTTGGTGAAACAAAGTAGTCAGGACTTTTAAAATTTTCAAATGATTTAATATATGCCTTCCTTTCCTTCCTTCTTTTCTTTCTTTTTTTTTTTTTTTTTAAGAGACAGGGTCTCACTTGGTCACCCAGGCTAGAGTGTAGCCGTGCAATCATAGCTCACTGGAATCTCAAACTCCTGAGCTCAAGTGATCCTCCTGCCTCAGCCTCCCAAGTAGCTGGGACTACAAGTATGCACCACCATGCCTGGCTCATTTATTTTATTTTTTGTAGAGATGGCATTTCACTATGTTGCCCAGGCTGATCTGGAACTCCTGGGCTCAAGCGATCCTCCCTCCTCAGCCTCCCAAAGTGCTGGGATTATAGGTGTGAGTCCCCATGCCCAACCTTTTTTTTTTTCTTTTTTCTTTTTTGAGATGGAGTCTTGCTCTGTCGCCCAGGCTAGAGTGCAGTGATGAGATCTTGACTCACCGCAAGCTCTGCCTCCTGGGTTCACGCCATTCTCCTGCCTCAGCCTCCCTAGTAGCTGGGACTACAGGTGCCTGGTACCAGGCCTGGCTAATTTTTTTTTTGTATTTTTAGTAGAGACGGGGTTTCACCATGTTAGTCAGGATGGTCCCGATCTCCTGACCTTGTGATCCGCCCATCTCGGCCTCCCAAATGGTGCTGGGATTACAGGCGTGAGCCACCACGCCCGGTCTTTTTTATTTTTTAGAAAATCCTTGGACTAGAATTAGGGTTAAAAGGATCCTCAAGGTTGCCTAGAGCAGCCTCCCATGAGAGACTTTTTTAAAACCAGTGTTTTATTGATATATAATTAAATGCAATAAAATGCATTCTTTAAGTGCACATTTTGATGAATTTTGATAAATTTATTCATGCTTGTAATTATCACCACAATCACATTTCCATCACCCATAAGTTTCCTAGGACCTCTTTCCAGTCAGCCCCTTGTCCCAACTCCTAGCCCTACTGATCTGATCTTTGTCATTATAGCATTTGTATTTTCTAGTGTTTCTTCTTTTTTTTTTTGAGACCAAGTCTCACTCTGTCACCCAGGCTGGAGTGCAATGGTGCAATCTCAGCTCACTGCAACCTCTGCCTCCTGGGTTCAAGAGATCCTCCTGCCTCAACCTCCCGAGTAGCTGGGACTACAGGCGCCCGCCACCACGCCTGGATAATTTTTTTGTATTTTTAGTAGAGACGGGGTTTTACCATATTGGCCAGGCTGGTCTCAAACTCCTGACCTCGTGATCCACCCACCTTGGCCTCCCAAAGTGCTGGGATTACAGGCATGAGACACCGTGCCCGGCCTCTAGTGTTTCATATAACTGAAACCATACAGTATGTGCTCTTGTGTCTGGCTCCTTTCCATCAGTATAATTATTTATTTGTTTATTTATTTTGAGACAGAATTTTGCTCTTGTTGCCCGGGCTGGAGTGCAGTGGCGCGATCTCAGCTCACTGCAACCTCCGCCTTCAGGGTTCACCAATTCTCCTGCCTCAGTCTCCCTGGTAGCTGGGATTACCAGCATGGTGGCCCAGCTAATTTTGTATTTTTAATAGAGACAGGGTTTCACCATGTTGGTCAGGCTGGTTTCAAACTTTTGACATCAGGTGATCCGCCCACCTCGGCCTCCTAATGTGCTGGGATTACAGGCATGAGTCACCGTGCCCGGCCTTGCTGGGTCTTATGGTAAGTATATGTTTATAAGAAACTGCAGGCCCAGTGTGGTGGCTCACAGCTGTCATCTCAACACTTTGGGAGGCCGATGTGGGAGGATCCCTTGAGGCCATGAGTTCAAGGTCAGCCTGGGCAACATAGCGAGACCCTGTTTCTACAAAAAATGAAAAATTAGCAGGGCATAATGGTGTGCATCTGTAGTCCCTGCTACTCGGGAGGCTGAGGCAGGATAATTGCTTAAGCCCAGGAGTTCTAGGATGCAGTAAGCTATGATTGCATGGCTGCATTCCAGCCTGGGCGACAGAGCAAGACCCTATCTCAGAGACACACACACACACACCTGTTGTCTTTGCTCCCTTGTAATTGGGCAGCAGATCCTTTCTCTGATTCATCTTGGAAGGCTGTTGTCTCTGTCCCCTCATTATATTTATTGTTTGTTTATTTATTTATTTATTTTGAGATGGAGTCTCGCTCTATCACCCAGGCTGGAGTGCAGAGGCACGATCTTGGCTCACTGCAGACTCTGCTTCCGGGGTTTATCAAGTAGTTCTCCTGCCTCAGCCTCCCGAGTAGCTGGGACCACAGGCATGTGCCACCATACCTGGCTAATTTTTTTTTTTTTTTTTTTTTTGAGACAGAGTCTCTCTCTTGCCCAGGCTGGAGTGAAATGGTATGATCTTGGCTCACTGCAGCCTCTGCCCGCTGGGTTAAGTGATTCTCCTGCCTCAGCCTTTCAAATAGCTGGGATTACAGGCACACACTGTTACCAGCAGGCTAATTATTGTATTTTTAGTAGAGATGGGGTTTTACCATGTTGGCCAGGCTGGTCTCGAACTCGTGACCTCAAGTGGCCCATCTGCCTTGGCCTCCCAAAGTATTGGGATTACAGACATCAACCACCGCACCCACCCAAGTCTGCTTCTTTGTCTATGCATTTAGTTCTCCCAAGAGATTCTCTTTCCCTCTCCCTTGCCTTTGTACCCTGCTAATCAGGTATATGTGATTTCCTGTCAGACCTGAACCTTGCAGAATTGAAGCCATAGAAAAGAGTATGTTGACTCAACAGTGATTGAAGGGGGTAGGAGTAAAGCATTTCGCAGAGGAAGCAGTCTTAGGAAATTTTGCCTCTGACCCGTTTTTGTGCCAGTCGTACCAGGAGAGAGAGTGAAGCCAGACAGCCTCCCTCTTTCCTGTTTTGTGTGTGGACTACGATGTTCATTTCCTCATTCTCTCTTTCTAGGCTCTTGCTCTTGCAGAATCCACAGGTCTTTCTTGAAGAAATCTGTAGTCAGAACTTTGTTCTGCATTTTTATCTAGGGAAGGAACAGGAAGAGAAGAGTGTGGTCTACTAGAAATCTAGCACTGGAGACACGTGAGTCTGATTTGCCTTTTCTTGGTTTTTTTTGCTGTCATTGGAATGTTTTTATGCATTGAACTGTTAAACGTTTGTCTATCTGCTAGCAGTTCACTCTTTTTTGAGACAGAGTCTTGCTCTGTCACCTGGGCTGGAGTGCAGTGGTGCGATCTTGGCTTACTGCAATCTCCACCTCCTGGGTTCAAGTGATTCTCCTGTCTCAGCCTCCTGAGTAGCTGGGATTACAGGTGCGGGCCACCACACCTGATTAATTTTTATATGTTTAGTAGAGACGGGTTTCGCCATGTCGGCCAGGCTGGTCTTGAACTCCCGACCTCAGGTCATCCATCTGCCTCGGCCTCCCAAAGTGCTGGGATTACAGGCGTGAGCCACCGCGCCCGGCCGGCATTTACTCCTCACCTGAATTTTAAAAATTGATGTCAACTATGTGGCATGCAGAAGATCTCAGCTTCCCAGAATAGCTGGTTATATTACATATCATTTCAACTTTTATTTTAGCTTCAAGGAGTACATGTGCAGGTTTGTTACATGGGTATATCACATGATGCTGAGGTTTGGGGTATGATTGATCTCCTCACCCAGGGATTGAGCACGGTATCCAGTAGGTAGTTTCTCAGTCTTTGCCCTCCTTCCGCTGCCTTCTTGTAGTCCTCAGTATCCTTTTTTTTGTTTGTTTTTTGTTTTTACACAGTCTCGCTCTGTCGCCCAGACTGGAACACAATGGTGTGATCTTAGCTCACTGCAACCTCCACCTCCTGGGGTCAAGTGATTCTCCTGCCTCAGCCTCCTGAGTAGCTGGGATTACAGGTGCCCACCACCATGCCTGGCTAATTTTTGTATATTTAGTAGGGACAGGGTTTCACCATGTTGGCCATGCTGGTCTCGAACTCCTGATCTCAAGTGAGTTGCCCGCCTCGGCCTCCCAAAGTGCTGGGATTACAGGTGTGAGCCACTGCACGTGGCCATTACTGTGTTTTTCCCGTCTTTGTATCCACATGTACCCAGTTTAGCTCCCACTTTTAAGTGAGAACATGTGGTATTTGGTTTTCTGTTCCTGCGCTAATTCACTTAGGATAACGGCCTCCAGATGTATCTATGTTGCAGCAAAGGACATGATGTCATTCTTTTTTATGGCTGCGCTGGCTTTTTTTTTTTTTTTTTAATCATAAAATATAGCATAAGGCCGGGCATGGTGGCTCACACCTGTAATCCCCGCACTTTAGGAGGCCGAGGTGAGCAGATCACCTGAGGTCAGGAGTTCGAGACTAGCCTGCCCAACATGGTGAAACCCGGTCTGTACCAAAAATACAAAAATTACCTGGGTGTGGTGGCACACACTTCTGATCCCAGCAATTCGGGAGGCTGAGGCATGAGAATCACTTGAACCCGGGAGGCAGAGTGCAGTGAGCCGAAATCACACCACTGCACTCCAGCTTGAGTGACAGAGCAAACTCCATCTCTAAACAAAAGATAAAATAAAATATAGTGTAAGTGCATGTGCTGAGGATCCCAGCCCTTGTTATAGGGAGTTCCCTGTTTGACTCTCCTCTGATTCAGAAGCTTTTCAAAATCTACTGTGTACTCTTTTTTTTTTTTGAGACGGAGTCTCGCTCTGTCGCCCAGGCTGGAGTGCAGTGTGGCACAATCTCGGCTCACTGCAACCTCTGCCTCCCAGGTTCAAGCAATTCTCCTGCCTTAGCCTCCCCAGTAGCTGGAATTACACGCACGTGCCACCATGCCCGGCTATACTGTGTACTCTTTCAATGCCCGGGAACCTGAACAAATTTATCCCTATTACCAAAGCAAATAAGCTTGGTTCTCGCAATTGTGTGTGACCTTCACAACCTCTGTACAGGCTTTTAATTTTTCCTTACACAGGTGAAGGTAAGAGGTCAGTCCTAACAAGGTGAAGGAAGTAAGGTGATCTTAGAAGCCTGTTGAAAGATACAGAGATTGAGAAGTTGGAAAGCGTTTGTTTGGGCGAGGAGCTTTTTTCCTCTTATCCAAAATCAGGCCTCCGAGGCCTGGTCCTGCAGGAAAACTTGCTTTTGTACTTTGGAACTAGGGGCAAGAAGCCCTTGTCAGCAGTGACTTTTTTGTTTTGTTTTGTTTTTAAATCCGTTGGTCCTTTGCTTGCCCCAGATGAAGTAGCTGGGGCCAGCCAGGCAGAAGTTCTGTTCTGAGCTGCAGAAGACAGTGGTCCGGATGGGGCCTGGGAGCCGCTGTGTCTGAGAATCTGAGAATAGACCTTCCCACCGGCATGTCTTCTACCCCTGGCCCTGCCCTCTCCCTCCCTGTTAGAGCCAAATATGAAGAATCCAGAGTCCATTCTCCGGCAATGATTTTTCTGTGTGTGGAATTCTGATATACACAATTTACTTTGAAGCAACTGACCTTACTCAGCAGATTTTTTTCCTCTATAGCCACGAGAATTTTAAATACACATGGATTGCGAGTCACTCCTGGTAGAGACAATGAAAAGAGGAGGAAATTGGCCAGGCGTGGTGGCTCACACCTGTCATTCCTACACTTTGGGAGGCTGAGGCAGGTGGATCACTTGAGGTCAGGAGTTTGAGACTGGCCTGACCAACATGGTGAAACCCTGTCTCTACTAAAAAGTACAAAAGAATTAGCCAGGCGTGGTGGCAGGCGCCTGTAATCCCAGCTACTCGGGAGGCAGGAGAATCGTTTGAACCCAAGAGGCGGAGGTTGCAGTGAGCCGAGATCACATCACTGCACTCCAGCCTGGGCAACAGAGTGAGACCCCATCTCAAAAATAAAAATAAAAATAAAAAAGGAGGAAATCAGAAGTGTACAGGGAGGTACAGCATTTTGCAGAGCAGGATGGGAAGAGCTAAAAGGAGCTGTGGCCAAGTTTGCTCTGCTGCTCAATCAAGCAGGGAGGGAGTTGATACTCTTGTAATCCAAAAGGTAAAGGCCATCTCCCCTGGCCTGACCATTTCATGGGCAGAGTTAAGGTCCTAAAATCCAGCTCGCTGTCTTAGGGAGGGTGTGGAAAAAGAATCAGCCTTCCAAGTAAATTCAATGTAAAGTGTGTCTCTAATGTTCTATTTTGGCCAGCACTGTGGCTCATGCTTATAATCCTAGCACTTTGGGAGCCAGGATGGGAGGATCGTTTGAGGCCAGGAATTCAAGACCAGCCTGGGTAACATAGTGAGACCTCATCTCTACAAAAATATTAATAATAATAACTTAGCTGGGTGTGGTGGTGTGTGCCTGTAGTCTCTGCTACTCAGGAGGCTGAGGGGGGAGGATCACTTCAGCCCAGGAGGTTGAGGCTGCAGTGAGCTATGATTATACCATTGGCACTCCAGTGTGGGCGACAGAGTGAGACTTTGTCTTGAAAAAAAGCCAAAAATATTCTGTTTTCTCCTTGGGACCACATTACAACCCAGAAGGCAGGTGTCAACAATTCTGAGCTGTATATCAGGCCTAGTGGTCAGCTGGGGATGTGTAAATCAGTTCTAACTTTTAGTGGAGGAAATGTACATTTCCTTTCAAACTCAAGGCTGATGGTCTTGCTTTTTTTCTGAGACAATGTCTCACTCTGTCACCCAAGCTGGAGTGCTGTGGCCTGATCTCGGCTCACTGCACCCTTGAACTCCTGGGCTCAAGCCATCCTCCCGCCTCAGGCTCTTGAGTATCTGGGACCACAGGCGTGCACCACCATGCCCCACCAATTTTTCTTTTTCTTTTTTTTTTTTTTAAAGAGAAGGAATCTTGCTATGTTCTCAAGAACTGATCTCAAACTCCTGGGTTCAAATGATCCTGCTGGGATTATTACAAGTGTGAGCCACTGTGCCCAGCCAATCTCATTAAAGTGTCATTGGTTGGAAAGAGGTTCAAGTACCTGGTTTGCCTTTTTTTTTTTCAGATGGAGTCTTGCTCTTGTTGCCCAGGCTAGAGTGCAGTGGTGGGATCTCAGCTCACTGCAACCTCCGCCTCCCGGGTTCAAGCGATTCTCCTGGCTCGGCCTCCTGAGTGGCTAGAATTAGAGGTGCCCGACTAATTTTTGTACTTTTAGTAGAGATGGAGTTTCACCATGTTGGCCAGGCTGGTCTCAAACTTCTGACCTCGTGATTCACCCGCCTTGGCCTCCCAAAGTGCTGGGATTACAGGTGTGAGCCACCGCTCCTGGCCAAAGTCACTGGTTTTTCAAACATGACCAGTAATTATTTGTCTGATCATTTCGACAAGACTGGAAGCCTCTTGAGGATGGCGCCCATGCATTATGCATTCCTCTTTGGGTCTTGTGTCAGGGTTCCTGGGGACTGGCTTTGAGGTTCTGGTGCCCGTCAGTCGTTCTCAGGAGCATTGCCCATTCTTAGTTATGTTGTGTTGCCTCATTTGCCTCATGCATCTTCTTTTTTTTTTTTTTTGGAGACGGAGTTTCACTCTTGTTGCCCAGGCTGGAGTGCAATAGTGCAAGCTCGGCTCACCGCAACCTCTACCTCCCAGGTTCAAGTGATTCTCTTGCCTCAGCCTCCTGAGTAGCTGGGATGACAGGCATGTGGCACCACATCCAGCTAATTTTGTATTTTTAGTAGAGACGGGGTTTCTCCCTGTTGGTCAGGCTGGTCTCGAACTCTCGACCTGAGGTGATCCACCCAGCTCAGCCTCCCAAAGTGCTGGGATTATAGGCATGAGCCACAGCACCCAGCCTTCTCATGTACCTTCTTAAAAAGTCCTTTAGCTTATCCCATTTATTTTAGCTCCTCTTAAACCATTTGTCTGTTTCTGGCTACCTCTTCACTCACCTATGGTTCATTTTCCATTCTTAGTGGAATTATGCTACAGTAAGTGCTGCTTCTCTGCCGATAGACCTGCTGACTTCAAGGTCTTTACAGCGACCCTGCCTGGTCATGTAGTATGAATTAGCTTGATTCCTGCTGGACCAAAGCCAAATAACTGGTTTCTTTTTATTTTTTATCTTTTTATTTTTTTTTTTTTAATAGAGACAGGGTTTCACCATGTTGGCCAGGCTGGTCTCAAGCTCCTAGCCTTAAGCAATCCACCTGTCTTGGCCTCCCAAAGTCCTGGGATTACAGGTGTCAGCCACCATGCTGGCCCTTGTTGAGTTTTTTTTGAAATGGAGTCTCGGTCTGTCGCCCAGGCTGCAGTGCAGTGCAGTGGTGCAGTGGTGCGATCTCGGCTCAATGCAGTCTCCACCTCTCTACCTCCCAGGTGCAAGAGATTCTCCTGTATTCAAGTGATTCTCCCGCCTCTGCTTCCCAAGTAGCTTGGATTACAGGTGCCTGCCACCATGCCTGGCTAATTTTTGTATTTTTAGTAGAGATGGGGTTTCACCATGTTGGCCAGGCTGGTCTTGAACTCCTGACCTCAAGTGATCCTCCTGCCTCGGCCTCCCAAAGTGCTGGGATTACAAGTGTGAGCCACTGCAGCCAACCTCTTGTTCAGTTCTTAATAACTGCTTAGGTTCCACTCTATTTAATTCATAAAATATTTAATTCATGAAATATTTAACTAACACCTATTGAGTGCTGGGTGCAGTGATAGAAGATAATTCAACTGGAGTGATTGACTGATTTTCTGGGTTGATGGGGTGGAAATAATGTGGTATAGGGGAGGCCACTTGATCTACACCATGAAGAAGTAGGACTTGCTTCATGACATGGGGGATATGGTGATTCCAGGCAGAGAAGCAACATTTGAAAGGGTGTAGAGGAATAAAAACACATGACATAGGCTGGGTGCAGTGGCTCATGCCTATAATCCCAGCACTTTGGGAGGCCAAGACAGGTGGATCGCCTGAGGTCAGGAGTTCAAGACCAGCCTGGGCAACATGGTGAAACCCTGTCTCTACTCAAAATACAAAAATTAGCTGGATATGGTGGCATGCACCTGTAGTCTCAACTACTCAGGATGCTGAGGGAGGATAATTGCTTGAACCTGGGAGGGGGAGGTTGCAGTGAGCCGAAATTGTGCCACTGCACTATACTCCAGCCTGCGTGACAGAGCAAGACTCTGTCTCAAAAAAAAAAAAAAAAAAAGTCCTTAGTATTCCTTGAGCCATAAATTGTGTGTTTGACCAGGCACGATTGCTCACGCCTGTAGTCCCAGCACTTTGGGAGGCCGAGTCGCATGGATCATTTTATTCCAAAAGTTTGAGACCACTCTGGGCAACATGGCAAAACACCATCTCTACTAAAAATACAAAAAATTAGCCAGACATCGTGCCTGCCTGTAGTCCCAAATGCTCAGGAGGCTGAAGTGGGAGAATCGCTTGAGCCAGGGAGGCAGAGGTTGCAGTGAGCTGAGATTGCACCACTGCACTCCAGCCTTGGTGACAGAGTAATGCCCTAACTCAAAATTTAAAAAAGTGTGTGTTTGTGTATGTGTGTGCGTGTGCATGTGAATAATGTGTGTGTAAAAATGTGTGTGTGTGTATGTATATTTGTGGGGAATGAGGTTGGTAAAATACATAGGCATGGGAGCCAGATCATGAGGACATAAAGTGTGTAATAAAGACATTATGTTAATGGCTGGGTGCAGTGGCTCTGGTAGGGTACAGTGGCTCATGCCTATAATCCCAGCTCTTTGGGAGGCTGAGGCAGGAGGATCATTTGAGGTCAGGAGTTCGAGACCAGACCGGCCAACATGGTGAAACCCCATCTCTACTAAAAATACAAAAATTAGCTGGGCGTGGTGGCATGTGCCTATAATCCCAGCTACTTGGGAGGCTGAGGCAGGAGAATCACTTAAACCTGGGAGGCAGAGGTTGTAGTGAGTCAAGATTGTGCCACTACACTGCAGCCTGGGTGACAGAGCGAAACTCCTTCTCAGAAAAAAGAAAAAAAGGATTTATTAATAGACACTGAAATTTGAATTTCATTTTTACTTATTATTATTACTTTTGAGACAGGCTCTCATCTCACTCTGTCACCCAGGCTGGAGTGGAATTTCATGGTCGTAGCTCACTGCAGTCTCAAACTCCTGTGCTCAAGCAATCCTTCTGCCTCACCCTCCTGAGTAGCTAGGTCTATAGGCGCGTGCCACTACACCTGGCTAATTATAAAAATACTTTTGTAGAGATGGAGTCTTGGTATGTTGCCCAGATAGGTGTTGAACTCCTGGCTTCAAGTAATCCTCCCACCTCAGCCTCCCACAGTGCTAGGATTACAGGCGTGAGCCACTGTAGCCAGCCTGAAATTTGAATTTCATTAGTTTTTACGTGTCAAAAAATATTCTTCTTCTTTTGATTTTTTTTTCAACCGTTTAAAATGTAAAAATCAGCTGGGCATGGTGGCTCACACCTGTAGTCGCAGCTACTCTAGAGGCCAAGATGGAAGGATCACTTGAGCCCAGGAGTTTGAGGCTGCCGTGAGCTATGATGGCACCACTGCACTCCAGTCTGGGTGACAGAATGAGATCCTGTCTCAAAAAAAGTAAAGTAAAATAAAATGTAAAAATCGTTCTTACTTGTGAGCCATACAAAACCAGGTGGCAGGGTAGATTTGGCCTACAAGCCATAGTTTGCTGACTCCTGACTTAAAAGATTTTTTTTCCCAGGTCAACTTTAAATGGCATTATTCTGCCAACTGCATTGGTTGGAAATCAGTTGAGCAGTGGGTTGGTCAGCTGCTTTGAGTCTGTTTTTAACCACAGTCTTTTCTAAATATAGATTATTTACATCATCTGTGTAGCCTTGTATTTGACATATTAGTCTCTGATAGGAGGCTGGTCTAGGCAATCTTGAGGATCCCTTTCGCCCTAAGTCTAGTCCAAAGATTTTTTTTTTTTTTTTTTTTGAGACTAGTCCAAAGATTTTATAAAAAATAAAGGCCAGGCATGGGGGCTCATGCCTGTAATCCCAGCACTTTGGGAGACCTAGGTGGGAGGATTGCTTGAGTCCAGGAGTTGAAGACCAGTCTGGGCAACATAGCAAGACCCCCATCTCTTCAAAAAACAAATTTAAAAATTAGCCAAGCATAGTGGCGTGCACCTGTAGTCCCAGCTACTTGGGAGGCTGAGGCAGGAAGATCGCTTGAACCCTGGAGTTGGAGGCTGCAGTGAGCCATGATTGTACCACTGCACTCCAGCCTGGGTGACAGAGTGAGAACTTGTCTCAAAAAATAAATAAATAAATAAAAATTCGTTTTGGCTCCCTGTCCTCTGCAGCTTCTGTAGCAGTGTGCCTCCCAGAGTTTCTTCCTGTACCTTCACCATTTTCCCCTTCTCCTTCCCAGACTCAAGTCAGGACGTAAAGGTGGTGGTCCTGCAGGCTCTGTCCTTAGCGCTCTTCTCTTCTCCCTCTTTCTATTCTCCCTGGACTTTATTTTTATGATTTTTTATTTTCTTGAGACAGGGTCTCACTCTGTGGCCCCATCCTGGTGCAGTGGTGTGATCTTGGCTCACTGCAATCTCCACCTCCTAGGTTTAAGAGATTCTCCTGCCTCAGCCTCCTGAGTAGCTGGGACTACAGGTGCACGCCATCCTGCCCGACTAATTTTTATTTTTTTTAGTACAGCTGGGGTTTTGCCATGTTGGCCAGGCTGGTCTTGAACTCCTGGCCTCATGTGGTCCTCCCGCCTCAGCCTCCCAGAGTGCTGGGATTACAGGCATGAGCCACTACACCCAGCCTCTCCCTGGACTTTAATCAGATCACGTCTTCAACTAGCACCTCTACATTGGCAATGTTGTGTATGTTAAGCCGTTATATTTAGCTCTGACCTTTCTTCTGAGGCTTAAAGCCTTTCCCAGTATCTGGAAGTTAAAGTCTAAACTCCTTAGCCTGGCCCTAGGACCCGCTTAGTCTGAACTCCTGATGCACTGCCAGGCCCCTGGGCCAAGCCACGGGATAGCTTCCAGCAGGTCATCTGCTTCCTCCTCCTTGTCTTTGCTCACACTCCTCCCTCTGCCATCACAAACCTCTCTCCTTGTCTCTACCTCCCTTCCTCACCTCACAGCACTTGCCAAATCGATGCCCTGCCCTTTGACAACCCACTCAGAGGGCCACTTACCTGTCAGATTCAGCTCAAATACCTGTGCCTCCTTGAAGCCGTCTTTTTTTTTCTTTTAGTTAGAGTCAGGGTCTTGCTCTGTTGCCCATACTGGAGTGCAGTGGCACGATCTCAGCTCACTGCAGCTCCACCTCCTGGGTTCAAGTGATTCTCCTGCCTCAGTGTCCCAAGTAGCTGGGATTACAGGCGTGTACCACCACACCCAGCTAATTTTTTGTATTATTATTTTTAGTAGAGACTTGATATCTCTCTGTTGCCCACACTGGTCTCGAACTCCTGGCCTCAAGCAATCCTCCTCCTGACTTAGCCTCCAAAAGTGCTGGGATTACAGGGATGAGCCACTGTGTCCAGTCTGAAGCCCTATTTCATAGATAAAGCAAAACATTTTTCCTATATGCCCATAGAGACTTATGCACACCTCTGCTTTAATGCTTGCTTCCTTGCTACAATTAGGTAAAAAAAATATATATATATATATATGTGTGTGTATATATATATATATATATGTGTGTGTGTATATATATATATATATATATATATATATATATCTAAAAGAAAAGAAAGAAGGCTTCAAGGAGGCACAGGTATTTGAGCTACTAAGGAGGCTGAGGCACAAGAATCACTTGAACCCGAGAGGTGGAGGTTACAGTAAGCCAAGATCGTACCACTGCCCTCCAGCCTGGACAACAGAGTAAGACTCCACCAAAAAAAAAAAAGAAGAAAGAAGAAATTGGTGTAGTGTGGGAAGTAAACAAAAAGGAAAAACAAATGAATCCGTGAGTACACTCTTATGTGGCCTGCACTGACTTCGACACAATTTAGATTGGCTTAGTAGGCAAGGTGGGATCTTTTCAGAATTGTATTTGATGTCTTTAAATACATTTATCTTTTAAATACATTTATCTTTTTTTCTTGTAGAAGGAAAATTCTTCCAACAATGGTCTCCCACTCAGAGCTAAGGAAGCTGTTCTACTCAGCAGATGCTGTATGTTTTGATGTTGACAGCACCGTCATTAGAGAAGAAGGAATCGATGAGCTAGCCAAAATCTGTGGCGTTGAGGATGCGGTGTCAGAAATGTAGGGATAGCATTTATCCACTTTATGAAATGATAAAGACTTTCTAAAGAGTGACTGTTTTGGATGAAGTGCTAGACCCTGGCTATGGAACATGAGCACTAGGCTTTTTCTTTCATCCCTTAGAGTTTAATTTGACATATTCATTCGTTTATATAAATATTTATAATAAACAAACATGGATAAGACATGTTCTTAGCTTGATCAGGGGAATGACGACCATCACTAACCAAAGAAGGTGGCCTGGGGAGCGGGACCCAGGTGTCCAGTGGCTTTGTGTCATGGTTTAAAGTGTGGCCTTAGTGGTTCCCTGTAAAGGTTCAGAGTCTCTTAGTGGATCCTGGAGCAGAGTCCCTCCCTCCCTCCCTCCTGCCCTCCCGCCCTGCAGCTGGGCATCTCCCTCTGCAGTCCCAGTCCCCCAGTCATGCACTGTGTCATTTTTTTTTTTTTCCCAAGACGGAGTCTCATTTTGTCGCCCAGGCTGGAGTACAGTGACACAATCTCGGCTCACTGCAACCTTTGCCTCCCGGGTTCCAGCAATTTTCCTGCCTCAGCCTCCCAAGTAGCTGGGATTACAGACGCGCACCCCCAGGCCCGTCGAATTTTTGCATGTTTTTAGTAGAGATGGGGTTTTGCCATGTTGGCCAGGCTGGTCTCAAGCTCCTGGCTTCAGATGATCCGCCCACCTCAGCTTCCCAAAGTGTTTGGAATTATAGGCATGAGTCACTGCACACTGGCCTTTTAATGTTATTTTCTTTTTCTTTCCTTTTTTTTCTGAGACAGTTTCACTCTCGTTGCCCCGGCTGGAGTGCAGTGGCGTGATCTCGGCTCACCGCAACCTCCACCTCCGGGTTCAAGCAATTCTCCTGCCTCTGCCTCCTGAGTAGCTGGGATTACAGGCGTGTGCCACCATGCCCGGCTACTTTTGTATTTTTAGTAGACACGGTGTCTCTCCATGTTGGTCTGGCTAGTCTTGAACTTCCAACCTCAGGTGATCCGCCCGCCTCAGCCTCCCCAAGTGCTGGGATTACAGGCGTGAGCCACTGCGCCCGGCCTGTTAATGTTATATTCAAGCAGTCCTTTGAAAATTTATTCCAAGGCCTTGCTCTCATAGCAGCAAAGCCTGTCTGTTGTACAGTGGGGCTCTTGGTAGCATCTTCCTGTTGGTGGATGTTGTGCAGGCCTGGGGCAGTAAGGTATGTTAACCTCGAGGACAGCGAACCTGGCTGGCCTGACTGTTGGGTCTCCCTCCTAGGACACGGCGAGCCATGGGCGGGGCAGTGCCTTTCAAATCTGCTCTCACAGAGCGCTTAGCCCTCATCCAGCCCTCCAGGGAGCAGGTGCAGAGACTCATAGCAGAGCACCCCCCACACCTGACCCCCGGCATAAGGTAAGAGGAGCCCCTGCTCCAGGTGTATTTCAGCACCAGTGTTGGGGGGCAAGTCCTCCTGAGAGCATCTAACTATTGCTTTAGAGTGACCTCTGGGTGATTTATTTATTTTCATTTTTATTTTTAAATTTTATTATTATTTTTAAAATTTTTATTTATTTTTTCAAGATGAAGTCTCACTCTGTCACTCAGGCTGGAGTGCAGTGGTGCAATCTCAGCTCACTGCAACTTCTGCCTCCCAGGTTCATGCAATTCTCCTGCCTCAGCCTCCTGAGTAGCTGGGATTATAGGTCCCCGCCACCACACCTGGGTAATTTTTGTATTTTTAGTAGAGATGGGTTTCACCATGTTGGCCATGCTGGTCTTGAACTCTTGACCTCAAGTGATCCGCCTGCCTGGGCCTCCCAAAGTGCTGGGATTATAGCTGTGAGCCACTGCACCCGGCCTATTATTATTTTTTTTAGAGTCAGCGTCTCATTCTGTTGCCCATGTTGGAGTACAGTCATGGCTCACTGCAGCGTTGAACTCCTGGGGTCAAGTGGCCCTTCCACCTTAGCCTCCTTAGTAGTGGGGACTATAGGTGCATGCCACCATGCCCAGCTAATTAAAAAAAAAATTTTTTTTTTGAGAGACAGGGTCTTGCTTTGTCACCCAGGCTGGAGTGCAGTGGCATGAATACAGCTCACTGCAGCATCAACCTTCTGGGCTCAAGGGATCCTCCTGCTTCAGCTTCCTAAGTAGCTGGGACTACAGATGTAGACCACCATGCCTAATTATTTTTTTAAAATTTTCTGTAGACACAGGGTCTCACTATGTTGACCAGGCTGGTCTTGAACTTGTGGGCTCAAATGATCAATTTTCCCACCTCAGCCTCCCAAAATATTGGAATTATAGGTTTGAACCACTATACCCAGCCTTTAAAATATTTTTTGTAGAGATGGGGTCTTGCTATGTTGCCCAGGCTGTTCTCAAGCTCCTGGCCTCAAGTGATTTTCTACCTCGGCCTCCCAAATTGCTGGATTTAAAGGCGTAGCCTGTGTGGTTCTTTTGGTACTTACACATGGTCTTGTCTGGCTGGTTGTGTGGTCCTGTCTGTTTCTGCCTTTCGTCTTTCTCCACAGAAAACCTAAGTTTTCCTTGTTTGTCCTCATCTTGTGTTGTTCTGGGTCCATGGACAGAGTAGAGTTCTGGAATGGTTTCCTGAAGTAGCCAAACTCTACCCATTGATTTCTAAGTGCATTTAGAAAAACATATATAAGGCCGGGCGTGGTGGCGCATGCATGTAATCCCAGCATTTTGAAAGGCTGAGGCGGGCAGATCACCTGAGGTCAGGAGTTCATGACTAGCCTGGCCAACATGGTGAAACCCCGTCTCTACTAAAAATGCAAAAAAAGTTGGTCAGGCGTGGTGGTTCGCACTTCAGCACTTGGGGAGGCCAAGGCGGGCGGACCACAAGGTCAAGAGATGGAGACCATTCTGGCCAACATGGTGAAACCCTGTGTCTATTTAAAATACAAAAATTAGCTGGACATGGTGGCCGCGTCTGTTGTCCCAGCTACTTGGGAGGCTGATGCAAGAGAATCGCTTGAATCTGGTAGGCGGAGGTTGCAGTGAGCCGAGATCGCGCCACTGTACTCCAGCCTGGTGACAGAGCGAGACTCCATCTCAAAAAATAAAATAAAATAAAATAAAGTAGCTGGGTGTGGTGGCAGGTGCCTGTAATCCCAGTTACCCTTGAGGCTGAGGGAGGATAATTGCTGGAACCCTGGAGGCAGAGGATGCTGTAAGGTGAGATCACACCACTGCACTGCAGCCTGGGCAACAGAGCGAGACTCCATCTCAAAAAGAAAAAAAAAAGAAAAAGAAAAACATACATAAAACATTAACTCCCCAGGCAATATACCTTGTCAAATATACCTCAGGCAGGCCGGGCGCGGTGGCTCAAGCCTGTAATCCTAGCACTTTGGGAGGCCGAGACGGGCGGATCACGAGGTCAGGAGATCGAGACCATCCTGGCTAACACGGTGAAACCCCGTCTCTACTAAAAATACAAAAAATTAGCCGGGCGAGGTGGCGGGCGCCTGTAGTCCCAGCTACACGGGAGGCTGAGGCAGGAGAATGGCGTAAACCCGGGAGGCGGAGCTTGCAGTGAGCTGAGATCCGGCCACTGCACTCCAGCCCGGGCGACAGAGCGAGACTCCGTCTCAACAAAAAACAAACAAACAAACAAAAAAATATATATATATACCTCAGGCAAATGCATTCAGGAGAATAAAATATATCTTAGTTCCCTCTTCATGTTTCCTTTTTTTTTTTTTCTTTTTGTATTACTCAGTGTTTGGTATTTTGTATATTATTTTTGCAGGGAGCTGGTAAGTCGCCTACAGGAGCGAAATGTTCAGGTTTTCCTAATATCTGGTGGCTTTAGGAGTATTGTAGAGCATGTTGCTTCAAAGCTCAATATCCCAGGAACCAATGTATTTGCCAATAGGCTGAAATTCTACTTTAACGGTAAGACGTTAATGGTAACATATTCCCTTTCTTAGCAGTTCTATTATTCAGTATTCTGGGTAATGTCTGTTGGAATGAAACTTAAACAGTCACATCAGAGTTAAATATTGAGATGAATGGTCCTCTTAATTGATGTCTTTTGCCCTTTGGTACCCTTTGCTCAGCAAAATAGACTTAGGTCATCACCTGTCCTAGCTTTATTATCTATAACATCACCTGTCTGTACATAAATGTCTGCATTTCATGAAACATTAATTCCTACATAGCCCCTATGACTTACTTTGCTGTATGTTATATTTCAACTTTATGGGAGCTTCTATGCATTTGAAGCAATTTAGACTCAAGAAGGAGACTTGGCTGGGCATGGTGGCTCACGCCTGTAATCCCAGCACTTTGGGAGCCTGAGGCGGGAGGATCACTTGAGGTCAGGAGTTCAAGACCAGCCTGGGCAACAGAGTGAAACCCCAAGTCTGCTAAAAAAAAAAAATACAAAAATTAGCTGGGCGTGGTGGCACATGTCTGTAGTCCCAGCTACTTAGGAGGCTGAGGCAGGAGAATCACATGAAGCTGCGTGAGCTGAGATCATGCCACTTCACTCCAGCCTGGGTGACAGAGTGAGACTCTGTCTTAAAAGCAAGAAAAAAAAAAAAAGACAAGAAGACAGAGACTTTAAAAGGGAGACTTTTGTTAATGGATTACTGAACTACAGCCCTTGGGGAAGCCTCCTGTCCCCTCTCTGGTCCATAGCGTTGCTACAGTTGTTATATTATCTCAGATCTCCAGTTATATCAAGGGGTGACTGATAGTGATTTTTTTTTTTTTTTTTTGAGACAGAGTCTCACTCTGTTGCTCCAGCTGGAGTACAGTGGCTCGATCTCGGCTCACTGCGACCTCTGCCACCTGGGTTCAAGCGATTCTCCTGCCTCGGCCTCCTGAGTAGCTGGGATTACAGGTGCCCACCACCACGCCTGGCTAATTTTTGTATTTTTTTTAGTAGAGTCGGGGTTTCACCATGTTTGTCAGGCTGGTCTCAAACTCCTGGCCTCAGATGATCCACCTGCCTCGCCTCCCAAAGTATTGGGATTACAGGCACGAGCCACCGCATGTTAATAGAACATTCTTGAGTGGTCTAGAGATAGAGATCATTGAAAAAAGAAGTCAAGAATGAGTGTGGTAATTACTGTAACAACAGAAATAATTGATCAGAAATAAGCTGGAATTTCCTTTTGGGTGACATAATATATTAACATTTTAAATTTAATATATTAAGACTGGGTGCGGAGGCTCACGCCTGTAATCCCAGAACTTTGGGAGGCCGAGGCAGGCTGATCATCTGTGGTCAGGAGTTCGAGACCCGCCTGGCCAACATGGCAAAACCCCATCTCTACTAAAAACACAAAACTTAGCCAGCATGGTGGCATGCGCCTGTAATCCCAGCTACTTGGGAGGCTGAGACACGAGAATGGCTTGAACCTGGGAGGCGGATATTGCAGTAAACGGAGATCATGCCATTGCACTCCAGCCTGGGCAACAGAGTGAGACTCTGTCTCAAAAATAAATAAATTATTAATTAATTTGATATATTACTATTGTATGGTGTTCTGCTACCTCAACAAAGTTTGAGAATTACTGGAAGCTTGAAGGATACAACAAATTCACCCCTAGGTATTTATGACCTAATAGAGGTCATCTCTACAATTGATATTTGTAATTTAAAAGCAAAGGTTGGCTGGGTGTGGTGGCTCACACCTGTAATCCCAGCACTTTGGGAGGCCGAGGCAGGAGAATCACATGAGCCTCGGAGTTCCAGACCAACCTGGGCAACATGCCAAGACCCCATTTCTATAATCATAATCATAATCATAATCATAAAAGGAGAAAAAGTAAAGCTTGTTTATTCCCAGGAACAGGTGTGGAGCTCCAGGCTGTGCGACTTTACCCAGGGCCATTTTTAACCTTCTCAGTGACATTTAAGTGAAGATCTCATCTATGCAGAAAGCTGTCACTGGTAAGATACTTCTGTGGGTCTTTAACCTTGTCTTTATTGCTCTTTTAAGGTGAATATGCAGGTTTTGATGAGACACAGCCAACAGCTGAATCTGGTGGAAAAGGAAAAGTGATTAAACTTTTAAAGGAAAAATTTCATTTTAAGAAAATAATCATGATTGGAGATGGTGCCACAGACATGGAAGCCTGTCCCCCTGCTGTATGTATTAAGGATGCTAATATTTTTGCAGGTTGTACTTTTGTTTTTTTAATATATTTATTTATTATTTCTTTATTTTTTTTTTTGAGACGGAGTTTCGCCCTTTGTTGCCCAGGTTGGAGTGCAGTGGCATGATCTCAGCTCACTGCAATATCTGCCTCCCAGTTCAAACCATTCTGGTATCTCAGCCTCCCAAGTAGCTGGGATTACAGGCACACGCCACCATGCTGGCTAAGTTTTGTATTTTTAGTAGAGATGGGGTTTCGTCACATTGGCCAGGCTGGTCTTGAGCTCCTGACCTCAGGTGATCTGCCTGCCTTGGCCTCCCAAAGTGCTGGGATTACAGGCATGAGCCACCACGCTCGGCCGTACTTTTGTTTTCACAGCTGATTTATTCTATAATCCCAACATTTTGGGAGGTCAAGGCAGGCAGATCACTTGAGCACAGGAGTTTGAGACCAGCCTGGGCAACATAGTGAGACCTCATCTCTACAAAATAAATAAATAAAATAAAAACAGCTGATTTAGAACTATGTAAGATTTAAAACAGGAGTTAAACAAAAACAACTCTGATTACAAGATAAAAATGAAATAATAAAAAATTCAATCTTGTTTTGTCAACTTTATGCAAACCCAAGAAAAGTTATGAATAAGGAACTAAAAACCTTTTAAAACTTTTAACAATGCCTTATCCCTGTAGTATGGGCACCATCTTTTAGCCTAGGTGTGTGCTCAATAGGTTGGTTTCATTTCCCCAAATAATACCATCAACAACTCATAACTGAGATTTTAACATCATTTGATACTTTATATACTAGTTCCTCATACATTACCTCATTTAATCCTCATAGCAGCCCTGTGAGGTCAAATATTATGTTTTGTTCTGTTTTGTTTTTCTTAGACAGAGTCTCACTGTGTCACCCAGGCTGGAGTGCAGTGGTGTACTCTCAGCTCACTGCAATCTCCGCCCTCTGGGTTCAAGGGATTCTCCCACCTTAGCCCCCCAAGTAGCTGGTACCACAGACGCATTCTGCCACACTCAGCTAAGATTTTGTGTTTTTGGCAGAGGCAGAGTTTCACCATATTGCCCAGGCTGATCTCGAACTCCTGAGCTCAAGCAATCTCCCCTGCCTTGGCCTCCCAAAGTGCTGGTATCACAGGTGTGAACCACCATGCCTGGCCAAATATTGTGTTCTTCTTACTGATAGGGGAACTGAGGCTTGCAGAGATTATATGATTTATCTGTAACATATCAGAGCATTTTCTTTTTATTTACTTATTTATTATTTTTTGGACACAGGGTCTTGCTATGTTGCCCAGGCTGAAGTGCAGTGGTGCAATCATAGCTTATCACAGCCCTGAACTACTGGGCTCAAAGGATCCTCCCACCTCAGCCTCCTGGGTAGCTGGGATTACAGGTGTGCGCCACTGCATCCCACGCCACCACGGCATTTTATTCCTCTGAACTAACTTCATTTTCTGAGACTAGCAGAGGTTTTGTTTATTTTTTGGGGTCTTGCTCTGTCACCCAGGCCAGAGTACAGTGGCGCAATCTTAGCTCGTTGCAGCCTCGACCTCCCAGACTGAAGCAATCTTCCCATCTCAGCCTCCTGAGTAGCTGGGACTGCAGGCGCATGCCACCACACCTATTTAATTTTGTTTATGTTTTGTAGAGATGAGGTCTCACACTATGTTGCCCAGGCTAATCTTGAATCCTGGCTTAAGCGATCTTCCTGCCTTGGCCTGCCAGAGTGCTGGGATTATAGGTGTGAGCCAACATGCCCAGCCAGGGATTTTATTTCTAAGCATTTTAAAATCAATGCGCGCATGTGCACTCTCCCTCTCTCTCTCTCTCTCTCCATATATATATAAAAAATCAAATACTATATATAGCAAGTGTCGTAAATATCAAGTGGGTCCATTTCACATAGGGCTTTGCCTTTGTTATGTCATTCTAATGTAAGAAAAACTACACCCGCCGGGCGCGGTGGCTCAAGCCTGTAATCCCAGCACTTTGGGAGGCCGAGACAGGTGGATCACGAGGTCAGGAGATCGAGACCATCCTGGCTAACACGGTGAAACCCCGTCTCTACTAAAAAATGCAAAAAACTAGCCGGGCAAGGTGGTGGGCGCCTGTAGTCCCAGCTATTCGGGAGGCTGAGGCCGGAGAATGGCGTGAACCCGGGAGGCGGAGCTTGCAGTGAGCTGAGATTCGGCCACTGCACTCCAGCCTGGGCGACAGAGCGAGACTCTGTCTCAAAAAAAAAAAAAAAAAGAAAAACTACACCAAAATATAGTGTGGCCAGGCACGGTGGCTCATGCCTGTAATCCCAGCACTCTGGAAGGCTGAGGCAGGCAGATCACCTGAGGCCAGGAGTTTGAGACCGGCCTGGGCAACATGGTGAAACCCCATCTCTACAAAAAATACAAAAAAATTAGCTGGGAGTGGTGATGGTGCCTATTATTGCAGTTACTCAGGAGGCTGAAGCATGAGAATCACTTGAACCCAGGAGGTGGAGGTTGCAGTGAGCCGAGATTGCGTGACTGTGCTCCAGCCTGGATGACAGAGTGAGACTCCATCTTAAAAATATATATATATAGTGCTGAAGTTTTTACTCCTAGTTTCCTGAGATCTAAAAATAGGGATTGTCTAAAAAAAAAAAAAATTCATACTCTTTGTGAATGATGAAAGAAAAAGGGTTCAAAGGAACCTTTTTGGCCAGGCACGAAGGTGACTCATGCCTGTAATCCCAGCACTTTGGGAGGCAGAGATGGGCGGATCACCTAAGGTCAAGAGTTTGAGACCAACCTGGCCAGCATGGCAAAACCCTATCTCTACTAAAAATACAAAAATTAGCCAGGCATGTTGGTGGGCGCCTGTAATCCCAGCACTCGTGAGGCTGAGGCAGGAGAATCTCTTGAATCCGGGAGGCGGGAGATTGCAGTCAGCCGAGATCGCGCCACTGTATTCCAGCCTGGGCATGACAGAGCAAGACTCCATCTCAAAAAAAAAAAAAATAAAAAGTTCCAGCCAGGCTGGTCTCAAACTCCCAACCTCAGGTGATCTGCCCACCTTGGCCTCCTCCCAAAGTGCTGGGATTACAGGCATGAGCCACACCACACATAGCCTTTGAATCCTTTTTTTTTTTTTTTTTTGAGACGGAGTCTCGCTCTGTTGCCCAGCCCAGGCTGGAGTGCAGTGGCGCAATCTCGGCTCACTGCAAGCTCCGCCTCCCGGGTTCACGCCATTCTCCTGCCTCAGCCTCCCGAGCAGCTGGGACTACAGGCGCCCACAACCGCGCCCGGCTAATTTTTTGTAATTTTTTAGTAGAGACGGGGTTTCACCGTGGTCTCGATCTCCTGACCTTGTGATCCGCCCGCCTCGGCCTCCCAAAGTGCTGGGATTACAGGCGTGAGCCACCGCGCCCGGCCTTTTTTTTTTTTTTTGACAGAGTCTCGCTCTCTCACCCAGGCTGGAATGAAATGGCGTGATCTTGGCTCACTGCAACCTCTGCCTCCTGGGTTCAAGCAATTCTCCTGCCTCAGCCTCCCAAGTAGCTGTGATTACAGACGCCCACCACCACGCCCAGCTAATTTTTTGTATTTTTAGTAGAGACAGGGTTTCACCATGTTGGCCAGGCTGGTGTCGAACTCCTGACCTCAGGTGATCCACCCATCTCAGCCTCCCAAAGTGCTGGGATTACAGGCATGAGCCACCACACCCAACCACCTTTGAGTATTTTTATTGTTAGCTTAGATAATTTATAACCACTGTTGGAGTTGTCTAAGTAATGAACATTGGGCTACTAGTTTAATGAGGAATACATAAAAGTAAAATGAAGAGATTTCTCAGGGAGCTCCCAATCTCGTTTTCAAGAAATGACAAAATCAGCCAGAAGTGGTGGCTCACGCCTGTGATCCCAGCACTTTGGGAGGATTGCTTAGGCACAGAGGTTCAAAACCAGCTGAGCGACATGGCAAAACTCCGTCTCTAAAAAATTACTCAGGGATTGTGATGTGCACCTGTCATCCCAGCTACTCAGGAAGCTGAAGCAGGAGGATCAATTGAGCTCAGAAGTTCAAGGGTGCAGTGAGCCATGACTGTGCCACTGCACTCCAGCCTGGGTGACAGGGTAAGACCCTGTCTCAAAAAACAAAAAAAGAACGACAAAATTGGATGGGTGCAGTGGAACATAACTGTAATCCCAGCACTTCAGAAGCTGAAGCAGGAGGAGTTTGAGAGCAGTCTGGCAACATAGAACGACCCTACAAAAAAATTTAAAAAGTAGCCCAGCAAGTTGGTGCACACCTGGAGTCTCAGCTACTCAGGAGGCTGAGGCATGAGAATCACCTGAACCCAGGAGGCAGAGGTTGCGGTGAGCCGAGATTGTGCCACTGCACTCCAGCCTGGGCGACAGAGCAAGACTCCAATAAATAAATAAATAAATAAAAATAAGAATAATTTCTCTCTCTTTTCTTCCTTCTTAGGATGCTTTCATTGGATTTGGAGGAAATGTGATCAGGCAACAAGTCAAGGATAACGCCAAATGGTATATCACTGATTTTGTGGAGCTGGTGGGAGAGCTGGAAGAATAACATCCACTGTCACACAGCTCCGAACACCTTCGGATGGATTTTTACAAGTGATACAGGTTGATACTGTTTGCTTACAATTGCCTATTACCACTTGCTATAGAGAGTTGGCACAGATGATCAATACTTTAAACTACAGTTAGGACTCCTAGAAGATCGCTTTTTTTTTTTTTTTAACTGTATTTCCAGTATTATATGATGACTATTGATTTCCTGTAGAGTTTTGTAATCTGAATTCTTTCTGTATATTCCTAGCTATATTTCATACAAAGTGTTTTAAGTGTGGAGAGTCAAACAAACACCTTTACTCTTAGAAAGATGGATTCGGCAGCTTTCGGTGAATATTGGTTTCTCTTTGGTATATCAATAAAAGTTTATCCATGTGTCAGAATGGATTTGTGGAATTTGCAGTTCTGCCTCTTGGATATTGGAATACCCAATATTTCAGGTACTGTGTTGAAGCATAAACAGCCCCAGGCAAGAAACAGGCTTAAGACTCTGCTTAGTGCTAGGCACAGTGTCCTCACCCCATGAGCCCACTCCCACTTCCTGAAGCCCTGGGGACTTGAAAGTCCTTTTTTTACTTCTTGGGATTTGTCATATATGAAATGTTACAAAGGGTTTTTTTTTTTTCCTCCAATATAACAATAGAGTCTTAAACAAAAGTACTGATTAAAAATGGATATTTGGGCTAGGCGCGGTGGCTCACGCCTGTAATCCCAGCACTTTGGGAGGCCGAGGTGGGCAGATCATGAGGTCAGGAGATGGAGACCATCCTGAATAACACAGTGAAACCCCGTCTCTACTAAAAATAAATACAAAAAATAAGCCGGGCACGGTGGCGGGCGCCTGTAGTCCCAGCTACTCGGGAGGCTGAGGCAGGAGAATGGCGTGAACCTGGGAGGCGGAGCTTGCAGTGAGCTGAGACCGCGCCACTGCACTCCAGCCTGGGTGACAGAGCGAGACTCTGTCCAAAAAAAAAAAAAAAAGATATTTGGGCTCACGCCTGTAATCTCAGCACTCTGGGAGGACAAGGTAAGAGGATCACTTGAGGACAGGAGTTCAAGACCAGCCTGGGCAACACAGCAAGACCCTGTCTCTACAAAAAATAAAAACATTAGCTGGGTGTGGTGACACGCACCTGTAGTCACAGCTACTTGGTGGGCTGAGATGGGAGGATTCCTTGAACTCAGGAGTTTGAGGCTGCAGTGAGCTGTGACTGCGCCATTGCACTCCAGCCTGGGTGACAGTGAGACCCCGTCTCTTAAAAAAAAAAAAGGATATTCAAAAATCACATAAAGTAAAAGAAATAAAAACAAGTTTTACCAATCACAAAGGCCAGCATTTTCCCCTAAATGAATTAAATATTAATAACTTCTATCAGCCTATATAAACTATTTCTTTTTTATAGATGACTTGGAAATACTTGAAAGCCAGGTTTACGTTTGTTTTGAGCAGAGCCAAGCAAGGGAAATTTCAGAACATGCTTTGAATGTGTGAGAGTCTATACCCTCCCTGGAGGAAAAATGGGGGGAGGGGAAAGCCACGGGGTTAGGAAGTGGATACTGTTGGATAATTCAGTAGAAAAAGCCATAAGGTTTTAATATTGAGAATTAGTGGAAAAATTTATCATTCAACCAAATTTGGCCAAATAAATAATTATTCAGCCACATAAGCAAATCAGATGAATCAAATTTCCTTCCAAATCAGTTTCTGAAGGAGAGACATGAAATAGGTTTGGCAACATTTAAATGAGATTCCGAACAATGAGGCCGTTCTTCCCAACTGTGAATGCCTCCTGGCCGCTCTCCTAGAAACTGTTTTGCGGTGTTTGCACTTTTCAGCAGTGCCAAGCCCTGGGCAGGACCAGGCATGCCAGGACCTTGAAAAGTGCTGCAAACGGCGTCAGCCTCTGCACCTCCCGGTGCGCATGGCAGGGACAGGCCACTGGTGGGCGGGTGGGAGGACCGAGCCCCCACTGGTTTTCACCGTCTGACCGTCACAGCTGCTACTGCCCCATGGGTTCTTCTTGCCCGCGGCCCAGATACAGCCCATTTCTTTTTTTTTTTTTTTTTTTTTGAGATGGGGTCTCGCTCTGTCACCCAGGCTGGAGTGCAGTGGCCGGATCTCAGCTCACTGCAAGCTCCGCCTCCCGGGTTCACGCCATTCTCCTGCCTCAGCCTCCCGAGTAGCTGGGACTACAGGCGCCCGCCACCTTGCCCGGCTAGTTTTTTGTATTTTTTAGTAGAGACGGGGTTTCACCGGGTTAGCCAGAATGGTCTCGATCTCCTGACCTTGTGATCCACCCGTCTCGGCCTCCCAAAGTGCTGGGATTACAGGCTTGAGCCAGCGCGCCCGGCCCAACCCATTTCTTAAGACTGGGGAATTGCAATAGAGACAGAGATTAATTCATGCAGAACCAGCCAAACAGGAGGGCGGAGCTTTATTCTTACATCAATCTCCCCAAAAATTCAGAGGTTAGACTTTTTCAAGGATGCTTCGGCAGGCCAGGGGATTTGCTTCTGGCTGGGGCCGTGGGGTAGGGTGGGGTGAGGTGGTGGGGTGGCGGGGGTGGGGGCAGGAGGTCATCGGGTCCAGGTGGAGCCATTGATGGTCAGAAATGCAAAAACCTGGGCCAGGCACGGTGGCTCACGCCTGTCATTCCAGCACTTTGGGAGGCCGAGGCAGGCAGATCACTTGAGATCAGGAGTTGAAGACCAGCCTGACCAACACGGTGAAACCCCATCTCTACTAAAAATACAAAAATTAGCAGGGCGTGGTGGAAGACACCTATGTAATCCCAGGTACTTGGGTGGCTGAGGCAGGGGAATCACTTGAATCCAGGAGGCAGAGGCTGTAGTGAGTGGAGAGATCACACCACGGCACTCCAGCCTGGGCGACAGAGTGAAACTCTGTCTCAAAAAAAAAAGAAATGCGAAAACCTGAAAAGACATCTCAAAAGGCCAATTTTAGGTTCTACAGTCGTGATGTAACCTGCAGGAGTAACGGGCAGTTGCAAATCTTGTGCCTGCCCTCTGGAATAATAACTGGAAACGATGTTTATGTGTACACCTTGGCAGAATTTAGGCTTCTCGCATCCACCTAGCCTGGTGGTCTCTCACTAGCTTTATGAAGGCGGTTGAGTTTTGGGGAAGAGCTACTATCTTTTTTTTTTTTTTTGAGACGAGTCTCACTCTGCCACCCAGGCTGGAGTGCAGTGGCGCAATCTTGCCTCACCGCAACCTCCGCCTTCTGGGTTCAAGTGATTCTCCTGCCTCAGCCTCCTGAGTAGCTGGGATTACAGGTATGTGCCACCATGCCCGGCTAATTTTTTTCTGTGTTTTCAGTAGAGACGGGGTTTCACCATGTTGGTCAAGCTGGTCTCAAACTCCTGACCTCGTGATCCTCCCGCCTCGGCCTCCCAAAGTGCTGGGATTACAAGTGTGAGACGCCGCACCCCACCAAGCTATTGTCATTTAAGCTATAAACTAAACATCTCCCAGGTTAGCTTGGTCCAAGCCCAGCTATATGATTAAGGGCAGTTTGAAGGCTAAAGGCAAGATGGGGGGTGGTTAAATTTACATCTCACTTTGTTAGAGTTTTTGCAGACGTGGTTTCATTTGTATGTGTGTGTCTGTTTTTCGTTTGTTTGTTTGTTTTTGAGACAGAGTCTTGCTCTGTCATCCAGGCTGAAGTGCAGTGGCACAATCTCGGCTCACTGAAACCTCCGCCTCCTGGGTTCTCATTTTTCTTTTCTGGTCCATCTTTCACAAGCATGCAAAGGTGGTTTCAGAGTACATCCACAGGGCTGTGGGCTGAACATAAGGTGGACATGAATTTGGGTCAGAGGGATCTGATCCCCTGATAAATACTGATGGCTGCATGGAACCCATTATAGGAGGGGCTGGTCCCACAGGCTGCCCAGCTCTCAGCAAACCACCCAAAAGCTGCTGTCTCAGACAATCCCTGCTTTGTTGTGTTCGAGGAGTGAGTTTGAAATTATGCAAGAACTGCACTAACCCCTTTCATACTTTTTGAATTCTGGACTCACTGGAAACAGCTACGGAACAGCTCTCCCATGAGTCACGCCCATGCCTACACTAGGATGGACTCAGGCATGGCTGATTGTCCGTGTGACGCCATTGTTCATTCCGATTATGAACACCGCCTGTGTAAACAGAAAGAGCTAAGACTTGGGATCATGAAGCCAAGAGCAGAAATTTGTCAGGGTATTAAGGTGAAACAATAAAAAGCCTTTAAAGCTTTTATATACTTAAAAAAAAATGACTTTATGCCCCCGCCCACTCCATTCTCTCCTGGTTTAACTGCTGCTTATTTTTTATTTTTATTTTTTTGTTGAGACAGGGTCTTGCTCTGTCGCCCAGGCAGGAGTGCAGTGGTAAGATCATAGCTCACTGCAGCCTGGAACTCCTGGGCTCACGCGGACCTTCTTCTTTGACCTCCTGAGTAACTGGGACCACAGGTGCACACCACCACACCTGGCTAATATTTAAATTTTTTGTGGAGATGGGGGTCTTGCTATGTTGTCCAGGCTGGTCTTGAACCCCTGGCCTCAAACGATCCTCTGTTCTCAGCCTCCAAAAGTGTTGGGATTGTAAGTGTGAGCCACTGCGCCCAGACCTAACTGCTGGTTTAATGATTCTTCCATTTCTGTCTCTTCTACTGGAGACAAGTGTGTCTCCACGGCACCTAGGGAGGCCCACTGGGGCTGCTGCTCCCAAGGGCAAGGCCAGGAGAGAGCTGCAGATTCCAGAGATTGGCCTCAGGAAGCAGTAACACAAACCTGATGGCTTTTGACCCTACGACCCTCAGAACCTTTATGAGCAGCTTCAGAAAACCTAACCATGAGTCACAGTGCTTATTTTCACATTTTGCAAGGTGTTTTCATGTCTCCTCATGTGATTCTCACAGTCCTAAGGTCAGCAGTATAGAAACTGCTGTCCTCTTTATTTAATTTATTTTTTTTGAGACGGAGTCTCGCTCTGTCACTCGGACTGGAGTGCAGTGGTATGATCTGGGCTCACTGCAACCTCCGCCTCCCAGGTTCAAGTGATTCTCTTGCCTCAGCCTCCCGAATAGCTGGGATTACAGGCACCAGCCACCATGCCTGGCTAAGTTTTGTATTTTTTACAGAGACTGGGTTTCACTATGTTGCCCAGGCTGGTCTCAAACTCCTGGCCTCAAGTGATCCACCCGCCTCGGCCTCCCAAAGTGCTGGGATTACAGATGTGAGCCACCGCACCTGGCCCTGCTGTCCTCTTTAACAGCTGGGAAATACCCTCACCAGAGTTAATGACAGCTGTGAGATCACATTCAGAGCTGGAACCTGAGGCAATGATTTCCACACCATTCTTTATCTTGTAAGTATTATTAGAGAGTTAAC